CTAGGCTTTGGCTCTCTGAGCCTCAGTTTTCTTATCTACAAAGTGGGGTAACTTACCTGTTCCTCTCACCTTGTAGAACTGTTGTGAGGATCAGAGAGAGATAAAAATGCTTTGAAAAATAACTTCCATGAGAGACAGGAGACTATAGTGACAGACAGAATGAAATAGATGTTGAGAGCTCAAAACTGAGAGTTTGAATACTGGCTCTGGCCTAGGGCAACTTACTTAACCCCAATAAGCTTTGTATTTATTACTGGAAAGTGAGTATAATAATGGTATATAATGCCCTAGAACATTGTTATAAGGCTTAAAAGAGCTAAAATTTGTGACGTGCTTAGCAGAATGGCTGGCACATAGTAACTGCTTAATGATAGTAATTACTATTATTAATTATTATAACTACTACATTTGTTTAATTCATCATTGTATTTTCAGTGCCTGACACATTGTAGGAACTCATTGACTGCTTACAGAATGGATAGATGGATAGATCCATATTGCGTCTTCAGGTTATTAATCATTAATTGGTCAGTAGAAATTGGAGTTGGGCTGAGGGATGCAGTAGTCATCTGAGGGACAGGATGAGATGAGCAGCAAGCTCAGAGACAAGAATATGCCCATGGGGCTGGGCATGGTGGTTCACAACTATAATCCCAGCACTTTGGGAGGCTGAGACAGGAAGATCACTTGAGGTCAGGAGTTCAAGACCAGCCTGGGCACCATGGTGAATCCTTGTGTCTACTAAAAAAAAATATAAAAATCAGCTGGACGTGGTGGCGCATGCCCATAATCCCAGCTACTCAGGAGGCTGAGGCAGGGGAATCGCTTGAGCCCAGAAGGTGGAGGTGGAAGTAGGCTGAGATGGTGCCACTGCATTCCAGCTTGGGCAACAGAGTGAGACCCTGTCTCAAAATGACTAGAGTGCAAGCAAGTTGCTGTAAATGCTGAGCCAGGTCAGCAAACCTCTTGCTTGCCACAGGGATTTGGAGAAGAGAGAGAGCATCAAGGTGTCAACGAAAAGAGTCAAACTCTGTAAAATATTTGAAGAGATTTATCCTGAGCCAAATATGAGTAACCATGGCCCATGACACAGCCCTCAGGAGACCTTAAGAACATGTGCCCACGGTGTTCAGGGCGGACTTGAGTTTCTGCATTTTTGGGAGACATGAGACATCAATCAATACATTTAAGATGTACATTGGTTTGGTTCGGAATGGCAGGACAGCTCAAAGCAGGGGCTTGAAGGCTATAGGTAGATTTTAAATTTTTCCAGTTGATAATTGGTTGAGTTTATCTGAAGACCATGGATCAATAGAAAGGAAATGTTTAGGTAAGATAAAGGGTTGTGGAGACCAAGTTTTATTGTGCAGAGGGAGTTCTCAGATAGCAGACTTCAGAGGGAGTAGGTTATAAAATATTTCTTATCAGACTTAAAAGGGTGCCTGGCTCTTTGTTGATTATCTCCTGAGTCTGGAAAGAAAAAGAAAAAATGGGGGAAAGGGGATTCTCTATAGAATGTAGGTTTTTCCCAAAAGAGACAATCTCGTGGGGCAATTTCAAGATATGGCAGGGACATGTATTTGGGGTTAAAATATTTTTATTTCTTCCCTTATTATGTGATGTTATACTAGTCAGGTTAGAAAGCAGACCACGTGGCTGGGCACAGTGGCTCATGCCTGTAATCCCAGCACTTTGGGAGGCTGAGGCAGGCAAATCATAAGGTCATGAGTTCAAAACCAGCCTGGCCAACATGATAAAACCCCATCTCTACTAAAAATTTAAAAATTAGCTGGGTATGGTAGTGGGCACCCGTAGTCCCAGCTGCTCAGGAGGCTGAGGCAGGAGAATCACTTGAACCCGAGAGGCAGAGGTTGCAGTGAGCCAAGATCATGCCACTGCACTCCAGCCTGGGTGACAGAGTGAGACTCTGTCTCAGAAAAAAAGAAAAAGAAAAAAAGAAAGCAGACCATGCTATATAGGGTTAAAATTAAAACCCCTCTGATAAGACTTTATGGTTTGTAGGGCATGACTCCCTAGGCCCCTTAGGTAGGAATTTGGGCAAGATAAAAAATTTGTTTAAATAAGTGTTTAGTCCTGAGAGGGCTGGAATAATCAGGGAAGACTTCATGGAGGAAGCAGGTCTTGAGAAGAATCTTTTTAGGTAAGTGGAAGAGAAGGCATCCCAGCCCAGGGTAACAGCATGAGCAAAGGAATAAAGGTAGGGAGGAGAACAGTGCTGAAAGTCCACATGCATCTTGGCTACTGCTTTCTCCATATCACATATGAAGAAACTGAGGCTCAGAAAAGTAGAATAATTTTCCCCTGGTTGCACTACTAGTGTAGAACTCAGAAAAGCTGGGTTTCAAATTCCATCTATCTGACTCCAAAGCTCATGCACTTTCCCAAAATCTTCACTGCATTCTATTGCACAGATCTGAGGGTGTGTGAGGGGAGGGGACGGGGTAGCGCTGGATTCACTTGACACCAGAGACGATTGTCTGCCTCTCTTCTCAACTCCACATCCAGTGATGTCATGTTGGTAGCCTGACAGCAGCCGTGGTGGGAGTATTTACACCAAGGAAATTGGCAACCACACCAAATCAAGGTTTTGTTTGTTTGTTTAGTTGGCTGGTTGGGTTTTCTCCCACTCTGAATAGCTAGTTATTATAAAGTTACCAGCACACCATTGGCTGGATAAGAACTATGGAAACCAGGTTATGGAGCGTCTGAAGACAGGAGAAGACCTGTGTTTAAAGCACTGGGGAGCAAGGAGCCCATGAAGCAGGAGATGCCAGGGCCGCGGGTTTTGGAATGAAGGCTCTGACACTGAAATGCAGCTCACCTTGAGTGAGGAGTCAAGCCCCAGCAGCCAGGTAGGAGGGGCTGAGTACAGGGCCTGGTTTGGGGAGGGGCACTGGGCCAGGTGGGCATCCTGGAGGAACATGGCTGATGACCCAGAGCAGGTGGCAGGCAGCCTTTCAAGAGAAAGAGAAGAGTGTCTGTGAGCTCCATGAGAGTTCAGACCTTGCCTCATTTATCTGTGTCTCTGGTGCCTAAAACCACGCATGGTACAAAGGAGGCTCTATGCGATTGCACCAAAAAAAAAAAAAAAAAAAAAGAGAGAGAGAGAGAAAGAGAGACGCTGTAGATGAGTTTATAGAACAATTGAATCAGTGATTAAGCAGACAAGTGATACTCATGAAGCTGAGATGCCATGCCTGGGAACACCATACACATCTAGTAGATTTACCAGGTTAGTGGACTTGACTCCGTTTTTTTTTTTTTTTCTCAGTAGAGACAAGGTTTCGCTGTTGCCCAGGCTCAAACTCCTGAGCTCAAACCTGTAGTTCAGTGCCTGCGTCCGCCTCCCAAAGTTCTGGGATTACAGGCGTGAGCCACCACGCCCAGACAGAGGACTTGACTCTAATTGTTTTCATTCTCAACCAGCTAAATAATCCTGAACAAACCATTATCCCTTTCTTTCCTTCCTTCCTCCCTCCCTTCCTTTCTTTGAGTCTTGCTTTGTCACCAGGCTGGAGCGCAGTGGTGCGATCTCAGCTCACTGCAACCTCTGCCTCCCAGGTTCAAGCAATTCCCCTGCCTCAACCTTCCGAGTAACTGGGTCTACAGGTGTACACCACCACACCTGGCTAATTTTTATTTTTTTGTGTTTTAGTAGAGACAGGGTTTCACCATGTTGGCCAGGATGGTCTCAATCTCCTGACCTTGTGATCCGCCCGCCTCGACCTCCCAAAGTGCTGGGATTACCGACATGAGCCACCACTCCTGGCAGCCATTATCTCTTTCTTGGCCAGCCTCTGAATCTGTGCAATGAACACTTTGTACTGTCTTTGATTTTGTATAATTCTGGATGAAACAAATACCTAAAGATTTCCAAATAAATTGCTGCAAGGTCAGGATTCATCCCAATGCTCAGCAGAGAGGCAGCGGGGCTTGGTTGAAACAGCCTGGACTTGGACTCGAAAGGCTTGAATCAGAGGACTGGCCCCTGACTTGTGGGCTGGGCGCATGTGTGGCTTGCGGGGAAATCCCCTTCCGTCTTTGGGCTTTTTTTCTCTTCATCTGTGAAATTGGAGCAGCTCCCCAGGAAGCCAGTCAAGGTTGAAGTTATGCGTGTTCTTTCCCCAGGAAGGCTTCACTTCCCAAGCATGCTTGGCATCCATTGTCAGCCCAGCAGATGGCAAGGAGGTGGGAGGAGCCTTTGCCTTGGATGGGCCCCAAAGGCTTCGTCATCCCTCTTTGATTGTTTCTGGTGTTTAATGGCCTCTGGTTTTAAAACCCCTTTCCCTGAAGCCACATTAGTGGGTAATCAATACGGAAAACCACAAGTGAACTGCACTCAAGAAAGTAAAATCCCCTTGGTTCCTTGAGAGGAAGGAAAACATTCAATACTCACTCACAGAACCCCATTAATAGCAAACAATTCCTCAGAACGCTTTGAGGTGGTTGTATTATCCCCACTCTGCAGAAGAGGAAATAAGAATAACTATTATGTACTAAGCATACACTGTATGCTAAGCACGGTTCTAAGTACTTGCCATGGAATGTCTATTCCACGGAACAATCCTCTTCCAAGGAAGCTTATTTTGTGTGGCTGGGAGGACAGGGCACGGGTAGAGTTTGAGAAGTGGACTGTGGCCAACCACACAGGGCCTCACAGGCCACATGAAGGAGTTGGGACTTTATTCTAAGACCATGGAAAGTCTTGAAGAGTTTTAAGTAGGGGGTGACCGGATCTGATTTGTTAGATGTGTTTTGCAGAGATTAGCTACATGAAAGGGCAATATGGAAAGTGAATTAGAGAAGATAAGAGTGGATGAGAAGAGACCTGCTGGGGGCTTAAAGCTATAATGGGGATTGAAGAGGGTGGTGGTGGGAAGGAGGTGGGGAAAATGATGGATCGGAGAAGTAAGGAGTACAATTGGCAGGGTGCATGATGGATCAACTTGCATGCAGGAGTGTGTTTTCCTTCCAACACCAAATTGTATTTTTTATTATATACTACAAGGGATAAAGGAGACATCAAGGTGGACTTCAGGACTAGTGTCTTCCCCTGGGCCCAGCCTCGAGCTAGTGGCCCTCCCAGCACCTGCCTGGCTACAAGGGTGTCTAGATGGGGACAGGGCTATCTTCCTCTTCTCCTTTCTTTCTGCAGGAGATTGTGACTGCTTTAAGCTGTGGCAAAAACATTGTGCCCGTCATTGATGGCTTCGAGTGGCCTGAGCCCCAGGTCCTGCCTGAGGACATGCAGGCTGTACTTACTTTCAACGGCATCAAGTGAGCCCCAGGGCCATGGGACCAGCTGGGTAGGGTACAAGTCGCCATGACAGGCGGTGTGTGGGCAAACAGCTGACTAGCAGCTCCCTCTCCCCAGCTTCTGACCCACATGCTTCTGTGCCCACAGGTGGTCCCACGAATACCAGGAAGCCACCATCGAGAAGATCATCCGCTTCTTACAGGGCCGCTCATCCCGGGACTCATCTGCAGGCTCTGACACCAGTTTGGAGGGTGCTGCACCCATGGGTCCGACCTAACCAGTCCCCAGTTCCCCAGCCCTGCTGCGACTTCCATTTCCATTGTCCTTTCTGAAGGAAACTGGCCTCCCTGGGCTGAGACAACCTGTGCTCTGCTCAGGAAATGGCTCTCCCTGCCCCCCACCCTCATGGCCCACCTCCAACCCACTTTCCTCAGTATCTGGAAAGGGAGGGGAAGTCAGGCTTGGGCAGAGGGCTGGTTAGAACTCCCTGAGGCCCTGCCAGCGGGTTGCCTGTTTCGTTGTCTGTCTCAATCATGGTGAGGATCCCTGTTCAGTTCTGGAGACACTGGAATTGGGGTGGGGGTGGTTCCTGCATTCCCGTCTCCTGCTCAGATAGTAGCCAACTTGAGGAGGATGAAGGCAGGCAGCTCAGACAGGAATCCGGGCAATGCCCTGGTGGGCCTTGGCACTGTATTCTGAGCAAGAAGCCTGGGCCTGGGAGCCAGCCAGGGATGAGTGCCTTCATGGCTCTCCACCCAGACTGTGCCTGGCCCCTGCGCTTACAACTTCCTGCTGCTCTGTGGCCTTGCCCTGTAATCACTCAGTGCCCTTAGCCAGCCTGACGAGGTCCCAGATCCCCTACAGCTTCCTTTGGTGTGGTGTCTTTTGCCACATTCAGGGCCAGGGGTTGAGGCAAACCAGCCCTCCCTCTGACTTTGCTGCAGCCAGCTTTGTTGCACTTGCTGGTGCACAGGAGCCTCCTGTTTGGGCCTGGGTCTGGGCACGGGGAGGCGGTGCCTCAAAGACCATCCTACCCCGTGCCTTGGTGCTGTGCCTCAGGCTCCTGCCTGGTCGGGCCTAGAGGGTTTCCCCAGCCCCTCAGCCAACCAGGGCTACCCACCGCTTGCTCAGGGACCAGGCAGCCCCCATGGCAGCAGAAGTAGCCTCAGAACCTGCAGCTCTGTGGAAAGATGCAAGATCCTAAAAAGGGAAAGCGTTGTTACCTTTAAAGTCCGAATCACCTGGAAATGTTAAAATCAGGAGATCTGGGGTGGGGCCTGAGACTCTGCATTTCTTAGATTCCCAGGTGAGCTGCTGCTGGTGGTTAAGGGCAGGAAATCTCTAAAGCATAAAGCCCTCACAAATCTTTGCCATTTCCCAAACACTCCACGCCATGGTCTCTAGTCATCGGAGCAACCCTACCTGGTATTATCATCCCCATTTTATAGATAAGGACACTGAGGCTCAGAAAGATTGAAGATACGCCCAGTTTCCTGTCATTGGTGGCAGCCCCAGATCCAGACCCAGGCCTCCTGGCACCCAGTCCGCTGGCAGTGGAATTGCTCTCCTGAGAATCATCATCAGGCTGGGCTATTTCTTCCCCCTTACCCCAAGGAAGCTGGCAGTGGGGGACAGGATTTTGCAACAAAAAGTGGACCCAGAAGCCATACAGAAATAACTGAGCAGTAATGTCCTCTTGCGCCCTCCTCCACTGGGTTCAGAGGGCAAGAAAGTACCCTCCAATAAACTCAGGCTCCAGGTCGTGGGGTCTGCTGAGAGCTCTTCCCTCCTGACGGCCAGGTGTTCACACCTCAAGGCTGGCTGCACCCCCAGCCCCACTCCTGGCTGTGCTAGGTGACGCCTCGCTCTCGGCCACATCATCAGAGAGTCAAAGGTCTCACTCCAGGTTTGGGGCTCCTTCCTTCCACTCCCCTCCCTGCCGGGGTCTGTCTTGGCCAGTCCCAGCCTTGACACTTTGGTTTTGACCCCACCTGATCCTCCTTTCCTCATGCAGCACAAACGCTCGCCAGTGCCAGGGCATGGACATGGCAAGCAGGGCAGACCGGACGCTGCCCTCACAGGACAGAGTCAATAAAATATTGTCTCGAGTGTGTCCAGGGGATGATTTCTGGCTCTCTGTCTCCAGTCAGTCCCACCCCCTCCTGAGGTCCCAATAGGCAGTATTCAGAGAGGTTTCCTGCATTTTTTCTGTTTAGTGTACCCTCCACTGCTGTCCACCGCCCTGTGTGGCCTTCTGGTTGACCTCTGACTGACCTTCTGTCTCTCTGGGGAATCAGAGGCCAGCATCTGGCCCCAACAGGAACAGCTGAAGTCATGAGCCTCCCCTAAGCCAAGGCCAGTGTGTTCAAAGGTGACTGCCACCCCTGCCAGGACAAACACAGCTCAGATCACCAGGGCAGGCACCTAGGTCTGGCCCCTCCTGACATAGAGTACTCAGAAGTGGCCTTTCCTCCAAAGCCTGCTTGGACACATGTCTGTAGGGCTAGAGTGTTCTGCTTGGCTGGGCTGCAGCTGCCACCTCTCGGTTGGGGCTGAGTCAGCCAGACCCTCCCCCAACTTCTTCCCAGGGGCCAAGAACTGCTTAGGGACATTCAGAGGTCAGTTGTCCAGACAAAACTCATTCCTCCCTTCCCCAGGCGCATGAAGAGAGGTATCTCATTGTAGGATGTATGAGGAGGTGGGAAGGATCTCGGAGCATCAGCTAAGTTTCCTAACTTGTCCAACCAAATGTGATCCCCACAATTCAACAATTTGGGGCATCACTGATCTAGTGGGGCTTGCTCAAAGTTGCACAGCAAGCCAGCAGAAGCCTTGGCTGGCCCCACTTAGTACAATCCACCGGGCAGCTCAGGGGCTCCTGCTCAGCCCAGCAACTTCTGTTGTCTGACCTATGGCAGGCAGACGGGGAGCAGGAAAACAGAGGGCCCCAAAGCCCGAGGCACCAAGAGGTTTGTTTCAGTTTGATAAAATTGATTTACAATGATTGGCACTCTTGAGCCCAGGGAGTGGGTAGGCCATAGCCAAGGATCGATGCCCCAACCACAGGGAAAGCAGCACTCTTCCTCCGAAGATCACCAAGCTCCCCCCGTCTCCCTCCCTCCTTCCCAAGGCGGGCACTAACCAGGTACCACATTCATTGTTAAGGAGTGACTGGGGGCTGCTGCACACGTCGGGAACCTGGTTGGGGCTGTGCAGTTTGGGCTGGAAGGGGAGATGCCAGCCCTCGTGCTGCCTCTGGTCCCTGAGGTGTCACCTCCGTCAGGACCTCTCCTCTGCCCTGAGGGGTTGTAAGTGACGGATGGCAGAAAGGGAGAACTGACTCCTGTCCCAAATAGCTCCCCTGCCACCTGCCCTGCAGTGGGCCTGTCTGGGTTATGATTCTAGATCCTAGTCAGAGGCTGGCTCAGCTGTGGATGGGGTGGCCCCTTGGTCTGTCTTGACCACGTCGTCCACAGTGAGCGCTGCCCTTTGAAAGGAGTTGTGGTGCTGCTGTAGGGGGGGGGGGGCTTCCAGCTGGAGACCTCCAGTTGGCTGGTGTTCACTTTGCTCCTCTTGCCCTCTGTCTTCTGGTCCAGGCAGATCAGGGGCTCTGGGGAAACTGCTGGAACCCAGGGTGAGGACCAGCCTTTTCCAGTGTCCTGTGAGAAACCAGAGAGAGGGTTTGGATTTCACATGGGGAACCCTCTGCCTGTCTGGAGAAGTGATGCAGGATTACTTGGGTGGGCTGGTCCAGGTAGCTCTCCTGAAACTCCTCCTTCCCCAAGCTGACAGCTGGAGGACAATGTCCAGGGACATGGCTCTGGAAAATAACTATTTTTTTTTAAGAGACAGGGTCTTGCTCTGTTATCTAGGCTGGAGGGCAGTGAAATGATCATAGCTCACTGTACCCTTGAACTCCTGGGCTCAAGCGATCCTCCTGCCTCAGCCTCCTTAGTACTGGGACTATGGGTGCACACCACCATGCCTGACTAATCTTTTAAATTTTTCTTTTTTTTTTTTTTTTGAGACAGAGTCTCACTTTGTCACCCAGGCTGGAGTGCAGTGGGGTTCAAGCGGTTCTCCTGCGTCAGCTTCCCAAGTAGCTGGGACAACAGGCGCCTGCCACCACGCCAGCTAATTTTTTATATTTTTAGTAGAGATGGGGTGTCACTGTGTTAGCCAGGATGGTCTCAATCTCCTGACCTTGTGATCTGCCCACCTCAGCCTCCCAACATGCTGGGATAGCAGGCGTGAGCGACCACCTGCAATTTAAAATTTTTTTATAGAGACAAGGTCTTGCTAGGTTGTCCAGGCTGATCTTGAATTCCTGGGCTCAAGTGGGGCTCCTGCCTCAGCCTCCCACAGGGTCAAGATTACAGGCAGGAGCCCCCAAGCCTGGCCATGAAATACAATTCTTAATATCATGTGGGAAAAAGTTAGCCAGTCAAGCTAGCCTGTGGCCCAGCCACAACTAGCTGAGAAAGCTCTCTGGGCTTCCCTTTAACACAGTTCTGCTGCCACAGTTCCATCTATAAAATGGGAATGGAGGGAATAGGTGAACTGGGAGAGAGAACACAGCTTTGCCAAGTAGCAATGTTAGCCTGCTCCTTCCTCCCCCTGCCTCTCCACCTTGCCCTTGGAAAATGGCTCTCTGAGGATTAGGCATCCATCAGCAAGGGGAGGGGCAGCCTGGGACAAGATCCTTCCCCAGAGGGGAAGGATTCCAGGAATGAAGCTGCCATGTCTGGGTGGGAGGAGAAGAGGAAACTTTTCCAAGAAAGGGCTCCATGACGAGTATGGGTTCAGGGCCCTGCATTACCCGATCAGAACGGCTGGGATGAGCAGGAGGCCAGCTCCTAGGAGGAAGGGGAACCCCTTCATGAAGTTCAGGGTGACTGGGTAGAGTGAGTTGAAGATGCCGGAGGCCGTCAGCATGGCCAGGCCGTTCACACAGGCCACAGCAGAAAAGAGAGCACCTGCAAAGAAATTAACACCATACTGTGGAGTCGGAAAGAGCCATGTTCAAATTCTGGCACCATCACCCCACAGCTGTGTGACCAGGGCAGTCACTTAGAACCTAAGTCTCCCCTTCCTCACCGGTAAATCCTGCTACATCATGTGCTGTGACAACAATTCAATAAGGTCGCACATGGACAGTAGCTGGCGCAGAGGGGCTACTAAATAAACGGTTGCTATAAACCCACATTAAAAGTACATGTGCAGCCGGGCGCAGTGGCTCAAGCACTTTGGGAGGCTGAGGGGGGTGGATCACGAGGTCAAGAGATCAAGACCATCCTGGTCAACATGGTGAAACCCCGTCTCTACTAAAAATACAAAACATTAGCTGGGCATGGTGGCGCGTGCCTGTATTCCCAGCTACTCAGGAGGCTGAGGCAGGAGAATTGCCTGAACCCAGGAGGCGGAGGTTGTGGTGAGCCGAGATCGCGCCATTGCACGCCAGCCTGGGTAACAAGAGCGAAACTCCGTCTCAAAAAAATAAAAATAAAAAAAATTTTAAAAAGTACATGTGCTCTGACAGAACCCAGCATATAAAATTAAAAAGGGGAAAAAAAGGTATGTGTGGTATCGTCTGATGAAAGCTTGATGAAAATGGCTTTTTCTGGCTTATCCCATTTGGAATTATCTCCTGCTTGGAACTAACTGCAGGTTTGATTCCTCAGCTCCAACATTCATAGCTGTGTCACACTGAGCAGCTTCTCATCCTTTGTGTTCTTATTCCTCCTCCTGCTAAATAAGGATAATGCCTATTTCCTGGATTGTCAGCAACATTAAGTTCACATGGAAATCACCCATCACTGGGCCTGGCCCCCTGGAAGTAGCTAGTTAGTAAGGGCGTTCTTTATTCCTGCTCCCCTTGACATCTCAGAGTACAGAGAAAGTGCTGGGAAAAAAGTTTAGGTGAATGAATGAAGACACATGGATTCTGGGGACACCAGAGCCCACAGTGGGCTCTGTATGGCACCAGGTCTCTGTCATCATCAGAACCTCCTTCCAGGACAGATGGAGAAAGATGAATGTTTCCAGACTGGGGCATAAAGACCCAGAGGCTGGAAAAGCTGTTCTTTATAGATACACCAGGAGAACCCAGTTTACAAAATGTGCAACAACCCAACAGAAGTGGAGATTAAATTCTGTCACATCTAGAGGGGCCTGTGATGTCATCAAGAGCAAACCATCCACATCACAGATGAAGAAACAGGCCTCCGTGACAGGGTTCAGACTAAAACCCAGACCTTGACACCAGCTGCTTTTGAAAACAAACATGGGCCGGGCGCAGTGGCTCAAACCTGTAATCCCAGCACTGTGGGAGGCCGAGGCGGGTGGATCACGAGGTCAAGAGATCGAGACCATCCTGATCAACATGGTGAAACCCTGTCTCTACTAAAAATACAAAAAATTAGCTGGGCATGGTGGCACGTGCCTGTAATCCCAGCTACTCAGGAGGCTGAGGCAGGAGAATTGCCTGAACCCAGGAGACGGAGGTTGCAGTGAGCAGAGATCACGCCATTGCACTCCAGCCTGGGTAACAAGAGTGAAACTCCGTCTCAAAAAAAAAAAAAAAAAAAACAGACATGGGTTTGCATCCCAGCTCCACCATTTACTGGGTGAGCCGATGTAACCCCCTGGGACTCTTTTTCTTCACCTGTCAGCTGTGGAAAATGAAACCCACATCACAAGGTTGTTCATTTCTGGGCTTGTACACGCTGACCCCAGTGAAACAGAGAACTCTAAGCATCATCGCACCCATCTTACAGATGGAAAAGCTGAGGTCTGCAGAGAGTAAATCCTCTGCTCCGGTTATCCACAAAGAACCTAACTGTGCTCTGCTGACTGCAAATCCCAACTTTGTGGTTTGAAAATCCAAGGCCGCATGATCCTCTGCCCTTCGTGGGCAATTTGACAGAATTGGGTTTGTTTTGGCCACTTACTTCTCCAGGGTGGGAGGCAGGAAGGCAAGCTGTTCCCCAGCCATGGCTGCCCATCAGGCAGCACTGGACATGAGAAACCAGACATAGGTGGGTCCTGATACTCACCCTGCTCTGTCTCTCTCACCAGCTTGGAGAGTTTGGCCCGGATGATGGGTGTGGTGACTAACGACAGGAAGAGCAACCCATATCCTGTGGAGAAATAAACACTCATCAGGAAAATGGGGCCGGGAGAGGGGTGTCCAAGGGAGAGGCAGCATAGCTCCTATCCATACCCGAGGTGGGACTTAGGTTAGACCCAGGAAGAACTTCCCTGATGGTGAGGGTGGAGAGACAGTAGCCAAGGAGAAATAGAGACTGGCCTTGTCTAGGCTTGGCCACCTGCTAGCTCTCATGAATGAATGCTGATTCCCACCTATTACTTTCTTGTCTGAACCTCTTGTGGTCACAGCAGGCATCACCCACCCACCTGGCACTTAGTAGGGATACAGCAGGGCACAGAAAACAAGCATGGGCTTTGGAGTCAGCCCTGATTTCAAAACCTGATGCCATCACCTACTATCTGTGTGGTCTTGGGTACTTAACCTTTCAGAGCCTGACTCTCTGCAAGAGGAAGATAAGACCTTCATCACAGGATGGTTCTGGGGCATAAGAGGCTAGACAACAGTGCCCAGAGACATCAGGTTCATAGCCCTGGAACCTGTAAATACTGCCTTCTTTGGAAAACGGGTCTACACAGGTGTGATGAAGTTGAGGCTCCTGAGAGAGTAGGGTTATCCTGGATTAGCAGGTTGGGCCCTAAATGCCTTCACACATATCTATTTTTTTTTTTTTCTTTGAGACTTGGAATCTCGCTCTGTCTCCCAGGCTGGAGTGCAGTGGCACAATCTTAGCTCACTGCAACCTCTGCCTCCTGGGTTCAAGTGATTCTCCTGCCTCAGCCTCCTGAGTAGTTGGGATTATAGGCATGTACCACCACACTTGGCTCATTTCGTATTATTAGTAGAGATGGGGTTTCACCATGTTGGTCAGGCTGGTCTCGAACCCCTGACCTCGTGATCCTCCCCTCTCGGCTTTTGAAAGTGCTGGGATTACAGGCGTGAGCCACCGCGCCCGGCTCATCACACATATCTTTATAAAAGGAAAGCAGATGGAGATGTGGCACAGACAGAAGGAGAAGGCACAAAGAGGAGGAGAGCCGACGTGAGCACAGAGGCAGAGACTGGTGACGGCAGCCCCAAGCCAAGGAATGCCGGCAGTCCCTAGAAGCTGGAAGAAGTGAGAAACATGTCCTCTCCTGGCGTCTTGCAAGGGAGCGCTGCCTACTGACTCCTTCCGTTCAGCCAGTGATACTGACTTCGGACTTCCGGCCTCCAGAATTGTGAGGGAATATATTTGTGTTGTGTTAAGTTCCCAAGTTTGCTGTATTTCATTACAGCAATCTCAGTGAACCAATGCATGAGGTAAAGAGGTAACATCTATGAAGAGCACGGCATAGGGACAGCAAATGTGAGCTCCTTTTCCCTTTGCATTCAGTTACAGGCTTCCTGTCTTCTTCACAATCATTTCTCTCCCTGTGTGATTGTTGACTCCTCAGCAAAACTGCAAACTCATACAGGATGCTGGATCCTCCAAAGCGGGCATATGATGAGGCACCTGGGGCCCCTGCCAGGGTCAGGCCCTCCAAATCCACTCTGCTGAGACCTCCCCCACACCCAGAGCAATGACAGCACCTTCATCATCTCTGCATCCCCCAGGGTCATCGGCTGGAGGGAAAGGTACTGGCTCCCTTCTGCTTAATTGTCAGACAAGCAGTTGAGTTACAAAATCTGTGATTATTGTATTGTTGACTATACACAGCACATTTTAGGGCTCTATCAAAATAAATCTGTCTCTTTTAAAAAAAAAAAAAAGGTTAACTAGGCCGGGCACAGTGGCTCACGCCTATAATCCCAGCACTTTGGGAGGCCGACGGGTGGCTCACGAGGTCAAGAGATCCAGACCATCCCGGTCAACATGGTGAAACCCCGTCTCTACTAAAAATACAAAAATTAGCTGGGCATGGTGGCACGTGCCTGTAATCCCAGCTGGGGAGGCTGAGGCAGGAGAATTGCCTGAATCCAGGAGGCGGAGGTTGCCGTGAGCCGAGATCGCGCCATTGCACTCCAGCCTGGGTAACAAGAGCGAAACTCCGTCTCAAAAACAGAAAAAAAGTTAACTAAAGCCGGTCATGGTGGTTCACACCTTAATCCCAACACTTTGGGAGGGTAAGGCAGGCAGATCCTTGAGCTCAGGAGTTAGAGATCAGGCCTGGGCAACATGGTGATGTCCTCATCTCTATACAAAATACAAAAATTAGCAGCAGAGCATGGTAATGTGCACTAGTGGTCCCAGCTACTCAGGAGGCCGAGGTGGGAGGACCACTTGGGTCCGGGGAAGGTGAGGCTGCAGTGAGCCAAGATCGTGCCACTGCATTCTAGCCTGGGTGACAAAGTGAGACCTGTCTCTAAATAAATAAATCAAATAAAAATTTTAAAAAGTTAACTTCCTCATCTATTGGCCTGTTGGCCCTCTCCCACCAAAAAAAAGGAGAGGAAGTGAGGAGGGAAAGGGGAAGGAGGAAGAGGAGAAGAGGAACGGAAGTAGAAATTTCATATCTGTGGCCCAAGACGCCTGATTTTTTAAAAAACCAGAGAAGCTGATCAAGGATATTTGAGGTTGGTCCTGTGATTCTTTTTCTTTTTTTCTTTTTTTATTTCTGGTCCTGTGATTCTTATCAGAGAAGTGAGCACCAAGGCACTAATTGCATGGACTTTGTTTAGGAACATATGAATAGGCTGTGGGAGGCCAAGGGGTAAAGCAATTAGTGTATGAGCCACATTTTGTCTTTTGCTCTATATTACTAATAGTATTAAGGGTTGATAACTGTGGATTAATTACTTTAGCTAATGAAGGTCTGTATTTTCCATGTATCAAAGATGGCATTTTTTTTTTTTTGAGATGGAGTTTTACTCTTGTTGCCCAGGCTGGAGTGTAATCGTGTAATCTCAGCTCACTGCAACCTCCACCTCCCAGGTTCAAGTGATTCTCCTGCCTCAGCCTCCCAAGTAGCTGGGATTACAGTCATGCATCACCACTCCTGGCTAATTTTGTAGTAGATGGGGTTTCTCCATATTGGTCAGGCTGGTCTCAAACTCCCAACCTGATCCGCTGGCCTCGGCCTCCCAAAGTGCTGGGATTACAGGCACGAGCCACCGCGCCGGGCCCAAAGATGGCATTTTTGAGGAATTTCTTAGTTGTCTGTCCTCCGGTACAGGTTGGGGGCATAACTATGTTTCCAAAAACAGGAATGAACCACATTTGGGGGCGGTGAGTGGCTGGCCCCAATTCTTACCCAGTGCCTCTGGGACAAGCTGTCCCTGAGCCCACACACTTTACCTGTGAACATGAGAGGCGTGATGGTGGCAAAGGCAAAGACCACCATCCCCAGGATGTTGAAAGCCAGGCCAATCTCGGCCACCCAGGCATCCGCCAGGCAGTGCTGCAGAAGCTTCAGGCCCAGCAGGCTGGTGAGGTAGGGGAGATGCTGAGCTGCAGAACCATAGCCGATTAGTTTGGAGTCCCAGCAGAGGGGTGTGCTCAGTTCATACAGGGTCAAGATGTCCTGAGCCCCAAAGTGCACAGTGATCACCACGAAGATGGCCAGTGAGTACAGGGCTAAATGCTTCCTGGACTTCTCAGGGGCTGGAGTCACATAAAGCTGGACAATGGATCGATGGTGACGGAAAGTGAAGAGCCGCGTGGACTTTGGCTCTTTTAAGGTCTCACCAAAGCAGAAAGCTGCATAAAGAGTCATGGCTATCAGCAAGGCCAGGGCCAGCCAGAAGGGGTTGGCATAACCCTGGGCCCGGAGCCAGTGGCCCCCAAGGAGGCTTGCCAACATCCCAGCCACCCCGATGCCGGCTTCCAGCAGGGCCATCCGGAAGGTGCGACTGTGGCTGGAGCTGACATCTGCCACGGACGCAAAGCTCGCAGCCAGGAGGCCACTGAAGTCGCCGAGGATGGCACAAAGGATGCGACCCAGCACGAAGTAGCCGACATGGAGCTGCAGCTGCACCACAAAGACGGACACTAGGGCCTGGAGCAGCAGGCCCAGCGAGGACAGCACCAGCAGCGGTCGGCGGCCCACACAGTCGCTCCAGGCTCCCAGCAGGGTGGACGAGAAGAGCCCCACCAGGAAGCCGCCCACGTTCATGTAGAGGGTCCAGTGGGAGGTAAGGGTCTCCACTTCCTGTAGGGGCACAATGACCAGGGTGCGGTTCCTCACTCTAGGTTGCCCAACCCCCAAATACTCGCCATCCTGGGAGCTACAGGGATGAGGACTTTTCTTTGGAGCCCTAAACCTCAGAGAATCTTAGCACAACTTTCCAAAATTTGCCATTGGAGAGGGGTAAGGACATGGACCAAGGCCCCATTCCCTTTCTCCCCCCACTCCCTTTTGTCAACCTGCAAGACCAGATTTTAACTACATCAACTTTTCGCACCCCCGACGGTGAGGTTCTGCATCAGGCCCCTTGGCTCTGGTCCCGCCCACCATCCAAAACCCACCCTCGCTCCAGTTACCCACAACTACCATGACGCAGACTCCGCCCCTCCGCCGCCCCTACTCTCCAGCCCAGGGCCCTCCCGCTGTCCCGCTTCTCGCCGCCCCGCTACCTGCATGGTGGGGTCCGAGCTGCGGTTGCTGCAGCCCCCCGTGTGGCGGGTGCCATTGTAGCCGAGATCGGCGCTGAAGCGGTGCCACAGGTACTGCGTGGTGAGCGGGCCCTGCAGGACCAAGGCAAAGTTAGCCAGGAAGACCAGCGGCTCTACTGGGCCCCGGCACAGCACGGCAGCCGCGGGGCGGGCGCGGGGCTTGTCCTGGGGGCTCGCGCTCCCCTCCATGTGCACGCGCGGCGGGGCTGTGGACAGGCGGGCGCGGGGGGGAGGGGACCAGCGACGCGTAGCGCGGGGCTTGCGCTCTCTGCGCCTGCGCCCGGCGTCCCTCCTTAAATGTCTAGCGGGGAGGGGCCTGGGACCTGAGTCCAGCGGACTCTCGCCGGAGGTGCCCCTGGCTGGGCGTGGGCCGGCCAGGAGCCCCGCAGCCCCGGCCCCCAGGGTGACCTCACCTGTAAAGTGTGCATAGACAGCGCCCTGCAGCCCTCCCTCCCGGCCCAGACACACCACAAATAGCAAGAATATCAATAATTAACATGCATTGACCACTTACTATGTGCTGGGCACGGTGTTAAACCCTTTTTGTGCGTTGGTCTCATGATAACTCTAGAGCCTAGCCACTGTTAACGATCGGGCAATCTACCGATGAAGAAAGAGGTCATCGGGTACTCAAGGCAGAGCTGGAATAGCACATGACTCCTGATGCTGCTGATGTTGTGCGCTGTCACAGAGAGGCAGCTGGAGAAGATCGGAGTATGGCTGAGCCCAGCTGCCTGGGCTGGAACACCTAGGCTTTGCCACTACCTTGCGCATGCCACTTACCACCCTGAGCCTCTGTTTATTCATCTGTAAAATGGAGTTGCTAACAGAACATGTCTCCAAAAGCTGTGGAAAAACAGTGTCTGGTATATTCAAAGTGCTATTATTGTTATTAACAGGTTGTCATGTCTGGGAGTGGTGGCTTACACCTGTAACCCCAGCATTTTGAGAGGCTGAGGCGTGTGGATGGCTTGAGCTCAGGAGTTTGAGACCAACCTGGGCAACATGGCGAAACCCTGTCCCTACGAAAAATACACAAAATTTAGCTGGGCGTGGTAGTGTGTGCCTGTAGTCCCAGCTACTCGGGTGGGTGGATCCATTGACCCCAGAGGCAGAGGTTGGTTGCAGTGAGCTGAGATCATGCCACTGCACTCCAGCCTGGGTGACAGAGCAAGACTCTGTCTCAAAAAATAAAATGACATTAAATTAAAATTTTTTTAAAAAAAAAAGGCTGTCCAAAAAAAAAAAAAAAAAAAAAAGGGCTGTCACTTGCTCCACTCCTGCCCTAGGATCTTTTCCTGGGAAACTCGTCTTGTTTCTGGGGTGAGGCAGGGCCTGGCTTAGCAGTTCCCTTAGAGGAGAAGGTGGTAGAGGGCCTGACAGGCCCTTGGGTGTGACCCTATGCTCCTGGGTGGCTCCCATTATAAGAATTAGGCCAGAAGGCAGTCACCTGCTCTGCTGCTGAGCAGGCCAGACTTTGTCTAGGTCTGTTTTACTGCCTGTAAAAAGGAAGAGCATTACCTGCCTTACTCCCCCATCTTCCATTTATTTAACTCATTTACTGAGTGCCCCTTATGTGCCAGGCACTGTGCTGGGGGACTCTGGGACCACAACAGTAAAGGAAATAGACAAAGCCCTCACCAGGCTCATTAGTTTCTAGAATGGAGGGAGAGGGAAAACAATCCAAGAATCCTACTAATTGGTATAAAATGTCAACCATGGAAAATAGTTTCAAACTCCAAGGGTCCTAATTCAGGTGCTGGGCATGGGGGTAGGGGGAGCAGAATCAGAAAAGGCCACCTTCCCTGAGAACAGAGGAGCTGAGTGGGTTTCTGGAGGCAGGTCTTGACAGGCCTGATTCTTGGGAGGATGGATGGCTCCCTTTCTGGCCACTGTGACTGTGCCTGGGCTTGTTGGAGCTTGTTAACTGCTCCACCTCCCCTGAGCCAGGAGTCTGAGACTCAGGATACGTAGGTGCTGGCTAGAAACTAGTGGACTGAATGACTTCCCCCTGCAAGCTGCCCCCGACCTGTAGTCCCCTAGAGAGAGGAAATTCCACATTAAACATTCAAACCTCTGGATTGGCTCCCCTCCCCTCCCTTTCCTCCTTACCTCTCCCTCCCATTTACACAAAAGCCTGGCCCAGTTAGATCAACTGCAGTGAGGGTGGGTTAAGGAGAGGAGAGAGGGAGGGGAGGGAAGGGAAGGTATAAGTCCTTGTCTAAATCCTTGGAATTATTTCCTGGATGAAGAACTAAGGCTAGGAGAGGACAAGATCCCTCATCAAAGTATGGGACGGGGTGTGGTTCATCCCAGAGCCAGAGCCTCCAGTACCCATAGGGTAGAGGCCTTTCTAAGTCCTTGAAAACAGCTGCAATCAGCTCACTGGCCTGACTGTGCTTTCTATTTTCCTCAGTGAGATCCAAGTCCTTATGAGGGCTCTAAGGCCACCTGCCTCTTCTCTGTCCCTCTCCCCTGTGCTCAAGCCATGCTGGTCTCCTGCCTCGGGGCCTTTATACTTGTTGTTCCTTCTACCTGGAAGGTGCTTCTCCTGGATATCCACCTGGCCACCTCCCTCGCTTCCTTCAAGTCTCTGCTAAAATGTCACCTGATCCTCCTGTATAAGCAACTTTCCACCTCCTGGCACTCCCTAGTCCTTTACCCTGTTTCATTTTTTTTCCGTGGTATTTACCACCATCTGAATTACAACTTTCTGGTTTCTCTATTTCCATCTCCCTTTACTAGAGGTCATGATGGCAGGGACTTCGTTTTCATCACCACCATATCCCCAGCACCTAGAATAGTGCCTGGCATGTGGTAGATGATCAAAAGACAATGGTTCAATGAACTCCTCTCAGTCTCAAGGAGAGGAGATTGCGCAGCTGGAGTCCCAGAGCACATGGAGAAGGTTGCCCACGTTGAGCTGCACTGTGGAGTCCAGCGCCCAAGAATCTACACCTAGAAGGAAGCTGAGAAATCACATCTCCACCTATCCAACAGTTTGAGTGTCAGGGAAACTGATGTCCAGAGGGAAAGATAACTTACTTACCCAGAAAGAGCTAAAAGTTCCTGCCTGTCAAATTTCTAGATGAAAGAAGAAGCAGTCACAAAGGAAAAGACCTGCAGACTTATTTCCATAGAAAATAAAGCCTTCATTCAAAGACAAATGATGAACAGAGCAGGACAAAATCTTCCTTTTAAAATATGACAAAGGTTACTATTTTAACTATATTTGATAATAACCTGAAGATCCCTCCCTCAGTAAACAGATAAAAACCAAGCACTGAGGTTGTAACGCAGAACATGCCTGCGAGACACACAAGTGAACACTTCTCCAGCTTCCAAATAGCGAGAGAAACACTGCCTTTCAGCTTGTTCTTTGCAGCCAGCACATAAGCAATGATTTTCTTTAAAATGAGAATGCTCAAAGCTGGAAAGGCTACAGTGAAACAAACCCTGCTGAAGGCGTGTAAATATACCCTTTCAGGAAACAAATTTGGTAGCCTTTAATCAAGACCCGTAAAGTCTCTAATTCCAGATTTGGGTCTCCATCCAAAGGAACTACTCTCAAGTACAGAAAAAAGCCTTATGTGCTAAGACATAAGGTGTCTCACTTCTAGGCAGAATTATTAGTCATTGCTTAATATGTACTTCCACAATACTGGGTTCATACATTTAACCCTGGTTTTAAATTTAACCTGGTTATAAATATGTGTTCCCGGGTTTGTCACCTTTTAACCCCTACCCATGTCCTGCCTCCAGACTTGGGGGCAGAGAAATTGTTTTTCACCTCAGTATTCCCTGTCCCTGGGCGTCACATGCAATAGGATGAAATGTGAAATAGTTTTGATGAAGTCCATCAACTCCAGTCAATTGATTGCATCTGCCTGGATTGCTGCATTGAGATGGGCTGTTTTTCTGGCTTGATGGGAAGGAATCCTGTGATCCATTCTTGATGTCCGAGATGGGCTCAGGAATGGTAAGTATCAGCACTAAAACCTGTGTTGTCCAACCCCAGGATATGTGCTCAGTAAGTTTGGAGAGACTTTGGGGAAGTACCTAGAAGTCATAAGGATTTCTTTGCTCCCAGTTGGGTAATGCCTTTGAGAGGCTGTCTGTACAACCTCAGTGGGAGAGAAGATTGCAACATGGATTCCTCATCCAAATGGCAGTCTTATCACAGCCTCCACCCAAAACCTATGCCTCTTTTTTGCAAGAGGCCACTCACAGCTTCTGAAGAGCTATTTGTGATTTTAGAGACTGAGAGGAAGGAAGGAGACAGCATGAAAGAAAAACTGTTTTCCGTTTTGAGTTGTTGCTTCTCACATAGCAACCCTAGGAGTCAAAGCGGCATCCTCGTCACAACTAAGGGTGTTCACAGCACTGAGTAGAAGCTGCAGCTGTGTCTCCATCACTGTGTGACTTTGACCAAGTCCCTTTCCGGCCTCAATTTCCTCATCAATGAAATAATTTCTGGGCCTCTGTTTCCTTGTCTGTGAACAATGAAGTAATAATATCTACCTATGGGGTGGGTGTTAGGCTCAAATGAGAAGATATGTATGGCTATGAGCTTTACGTGGCTGTGTCCAGGTGCCAGAGATGATGATTGCTGTTGAACTGAGCTTGAAGGTAAGAGGGATTTCACCAGAAAGAAGTGAGGCTGTCCCAAGTGAGAGAAGGATCTGGGCCTTACAGGGGAATGCTACCCAGAATTCAGAGAAGTGCAGGCTGGAGGTGCATTAAGTGCATAAAGATGTCATTACCACATGGGGGAGATTTCCCAAAACACTTTCTGTCTTTGGTTCCTGCCCTTGGTTTCATTTTAAATACTTTCTTTTTTATAAAGGCTTTGCATCTATCCATCTACTGCCTGCCAGGCCCACAGCTAGGTGCTGAGGTTACAGACATTATATAATTCCTTCCATGAGTCCTCAGGCCAGTAGGAAGCAGCGTAACAAATCTCAAATCACAATAATAAAAGCATGCAGAAAGATGAATCATTTCAGAGAGAAGGTGTATGTGTGTCATCAAGAGAAAGTCAAAGGATTCGCAGAGGAGCTGAATTTTGAAGCATAACATGGTAAAACGGAGTCACCAAGACAGCGGAGAGAAGACATGTAAAGAGCTTTCTGTCCGGTGGGAAAGGCAAGCTCTGAGAGGCAGCAAGGGCACCTATTGTGTTGGGGGAAATGAAGGACACCCTGAAGGCAATTGAGCCCAGACCTCAGTTCACAAAGGGTTTCAATTTTAGACATTCAGTCCCAGGGACTCACTCCCT